TGTGTGTGTGTGTGTGTGTGTGTGTGTGTGTGTGTGTGTGTGTGTGTCCCTCTACTGGGCCCTTAGGCAGAAATGAACGAAAAATGGGGAGTTCATTTGGAGAGGGTTCTACTCACCAGAAAGCAGATCAACAACAAGGAGCCCGGGTATAGAATCGTCCCCAAAATGGGGAAAGAACGGCTCACTGTGGCATGAACTGATGCAAATCAAGAGAACGACGTCCATGAAGATTCCAGTGTAAATGAAAAGAGCAGATCATCCACAGTGTCTGTCTACTCTTGGGCCCAGGGGCCTACCTGATCAAACACTTTCCTCCTGCTCTCACTAGGGGTGAGCATGGAGTATTACACATGGGTAGTTGCCAGGGCAACCAAAAACTTCCTTGTCAGAGGAGAGGTTCTACTGTGGGATGGGCAGGGCTTTAGCGAAGGGACAATGGTAAAAACAAGAAAATAACAGCAAACAAAGAAAGGCTAAGAACTAGACCTCAGAACGGCCCCTCCTCCACGAAGTTAGCAAAGGCAAAGCAAAGACAATCCTTACATGCAATTGTTTCCAGTATTTTGGTCTCTAATTGAGGCAGCTCCCACACGGACTCCAGGAGGCTGGTCAGGCCTGCATCATTCAGCTTGGCTCTGGCCTCAATCTCATAAAGGAGAAGCAAATTCTCAGTTGGATCTTTGGAGCTGTCCCCTGAGGAAGAGGTAAAAAAGCCAGCAGCCCAGCGATTATGGCCCATTATTCTCTCCTGCTCTCAGCTCTCAGCTAGGGAGCTTTGCAAGAGGAAGAAAATGAATTTCATTTACAACTCAAAGGTTATTCCAGCCCCCGTGGACAGATTTCCCCCCCTAAATCTCTCAGCCCCCAGTTCACTTCAACAACCTGGCCACATTCACTAAGCAGCACCCACGCTTCCTGAAGTCACTGCCAGGTTTACCACTGGCCTGAAGAAATGCCAAAGCAACACTGTGGGCTCTCCCACCCATGGGGATTCTAATAATGTAACCCGGACTTTGTAGTCACTGAACAGGAGAAAGGGGCCTGGAGCCGGGGTCTCACGTCAGTGATTCCATGCTCACTGAGCCCTCCCTGAGGCCCACACAGCCTCCGCAGCATTGGGACAAGTGGCCACCTCCCTTCTGCTGGAACCACCTCGGGAGAGAGAAACCTGTTACCCCATGAAGCAACCCAATCAAGTTTTGAACAAACTCGTTATTGTTGGGCAGTTACATGGAGCTGAAATCTGTTTCACCTCTGGCTCCTTCTTCTCTGCCTACAAACATGCCCAGCTCCCCCCCAACCCTAAAATGAACTGGGGGGAAACCTTTTCCCATGAAAAGGTTTCTACTCCTTGGTCCTCCTGCCCAGGGCAGCTATGAAACAATCTCTCTCAGAGAGCAAGGCCTTGACTGCTAAACATCTTGAAAAAGTTGTATATATACCTGATGCTTCCATTTCATTACTATCTAACCTCAGCCCCTCGCAGTTGGGTTTCTGCAGGGATGGAGGGCTTCCACTGCACTGAAAGACAGGCAGGCAGGCCACAAGCATTTATTAAGCACCTACCATGTGCCAAAGGTCACCAATGATCTGATTACTCAGTCCCCAGCTTCCTCGCTCTCTCTGGCACTGGGATAGACGACGTTTCTTCCTTTGGCCTCAGACACCATCCTCCACCTCCTCCTCCTCTCTCTCTCTTGCTGCACCTTTGATACCTGCTTTGCAAGCTCTTCCTTGTCTGCCTTACCCCTTAAGTGTGTGCGCCCCATAAGTGTGGCCTGGACTCTCTTTTGGGAGTCATTCCCAGAACCTCAACAACGACCTCTAAGGAGATGACTCCCAAATCTATATGGGAGCCCATGACCCAGCTTGTGCCACAAACCTGCATCTCCAGTGGCTTAAAGGTCTACCCCACCTGGATAACTCAAGAACACTTGAAATTCAACCTGTCAAAAATGAAACCACAGATGAAACCATGGGCTTCTTTCAGATTCTCCCCTCTTGTTTCAAATCAGTTACCAAGATCTGTTGATTACCAAAGATAACCTGTAACCGAGGAAGTCATTAGGTTTTTCTGGTACTAATTTCAATATCCCATCAGCTCAAGGTTCTAGTGGTGGTCCTAGTTTTGTGTCACTCGACTCCAAAAGTGGTTCTTTTTTTTTTTAAAGTTCTATTACATTTTTAGTTATTTTGTTAAATATTTTCCAAATACATCTGTAAAAAAATTTTTTTGTTATAATTTGAGTTGTCCCCCTCTCTCCCAAGCTCGCATTAAAGAAGGCCAACATTTGACACAAACATATATATCTATACACACACACACACACATGTGGAACCATACAATATATCCTTCCATCCATCAGTTCTTTCTCTGAAGGTGGATGGCATTCTCCTTCATAACTGATTTGAATGATCACATTACTCAGAATAGCTTAGTCATTCACAGTCACTCTTTGGACAATATTGCTGTTCCTGTGTACAGCATTCTCTTGGTTCTGCTTGCTTCACTCTGCTTTATTTCATGCAAGTCTTTCCAGGGTTTTCTAAAATCAATCTGTTCATCATTTCTTACAGCACAACAGTATTCCCTCACAATCACATACCACAACTTACTCAGCCATTCCCCAGTTGATGGGCATCCCCTCGATATTCATTTCTTTGCCACCACAAAGAGAACTGCTATAAATGCTTTAGAACATATAGGTTCTTTTCCTCCCCCCACCCCATCACTTCGGAAAACAGACTTAATAGTGGTATTGCTGGGCAGAAGTGGCAGTTTTAAAGAAACTACATAATTCTCTTCCCAAATTTCCAGATGCCATCATACCTGCTAATTTCAGGACATTCACAATTTCTTTGCACCCCTGTATGTGCTCAAGTGCATGAGTCAGCATCTCAGTCTATGTAGCAAAAAAGACAGCAATAAGTTAGAATAAACAAAGAATGTCTCAACAACTTGTAAACACATCTCATGACAACTTAGCAAAAAAGCAGCTCTGAAAATCAAACCTCCTTATGGCCCAAGCAAATGGGAGCTGAGTTCACCTCCATTTCTAAAACCACAGTGGCTCCCTGATTGAGCTCTGGAAGGAGGAGGCTCAGTAACAAACCTGGGGGCGTATCAATGTCTTATCCCACGAGTCTGAGATTCTGTAAGACACGGCCCTCATCTCCTCTGGCCACCCACACAGCAGGGGGGAAACAATTGGGACATGATAACTGTAACCTATCTGCAGCCTTCAGTCATCTCGCCTCCTCAGAGAACAGGGAACACATGGGGGGGGGGGGGGAAGGCCTTCAAGCACACCAGAACTCAGCAGGTTCTCAGCAGAGACACCCAGAACACTGGGACCGAATCCCCAGGTGTGATAGAGCCTGTACTCAGAAGAACCAAGGGAGCTGAGTATTCTTGATTGCCTACCTGGGACCCCATTCAAAAGCAAGAAAGAGCAAAGAGCAAAGATAAGGAGTACAATTTTATTGAGTTCTAGGGAAAGATAAGGAAGGGTATGAGGAGGGAAAGATTGTGGAAAAACACAGAAAAGAGCAAAATACAGGAGCTTGAATCCTGACTCTGCTACTTTCCACCTGGAAGGCCATGGGCAAGTCACATCATCTCCCTCAGCCTCAGTTTCATCATCTGTAAAACGGGGGTGATAACGCTCGGCTCACAAGATTATTGTGAGGAAAGCCCTTTGTAAACTTCAAAATATCCTACTGCTTAAATCCCAGGACCAGGCCCTAACTCCCTCTGCCTCTAAATGTTTTCAGAGAAGGCCAAAGACAGAGCAGCTGTGCGTCAGGTTTGGGTCTATATACAGTGTGTCCCCAAAATCTTAGGGCAGAATATTTAAAACTGCCCTAAGACTTTGAGGACACCCTGTATAAGTGGGATAGGCTTCTTCAAAGAGGAAAGTTCTGAAAAAGGGAAGGGAGGGGAAAAGAAATATTATGGTAGATAATCTAGCTCTTCTAATTTATTCACTCCCTGTGTGACCTTGGGTCAGCCACTTAACCACTCAGAGCCTCAGTTTCCTCATCTGCAAAAATGAGGGGGTTGTGTTAGATGCTCTCAAAGGTTCTTTCCAACTCTAGAGCCAGTGTTCCAGCTGTTCTAGATCTAGGGAATGAGAAGGTGAATTCTTTTCTCCATTAGGCATGGACTTTTGCACTTACTAGAGAGTAGCAGGAGGGATGGAGGGCCATGGCGTTTGTTTGTCCTGCTGACAGGTGACCAAAGGCCCGGTTAATAGTAGTATGGAAAGGAAAGTCTGGATCTGAAAAATGTGGGAGGAAGCCAAATGGTAATAATTGACTTATAACAGAAGACAGACAAGTGAAGCAGCAAAGCTGACCCCCCCTCCCCAGGTTGGTATCTGAGAGAAAGAGATGCTCTCCTTCCCCCAGGGCATAAGGATACAGACACGGAAAAGAGGATTCCGCCAGATCAGTGCTCTCTCATTCATACTTAGCTTGAGTTAATGAGATTTTAAGACATGTCAGAATGAGATGTAGTGCTGGATTGAGAAAGCAAGCTGGATTCAGTCAAGTGGTTTTCTTACTGAGGCAAGTCAGCCCACGAGTCACTTCTCTTCAGACACTTTTCAAATTTGCCAGAGTGGATGAACCCTCCCAAAGAAAGAATATGAAAAGAAAAACAGTAAAGGATTTGGGCAAAAGTCCTGGGGGTACTCATAGATACAGGGACACCCAGAGATGAAGAATCCCTTAAAAGAGACAGCACAGAATGTTCCAAGAGGACAGACTTGCCCAAGGAATGTAGGAGCTCACACAATCCCGTGAGAAGGGAAGAGGAGAAAGAGAGCAAGCCAAGTAGGGCCACTGTAGGCCTCTGGGAACAAGATGGGAGTGAAACCAGAGGTGGATGGAAGGCAATCTGGAAGCTGAGAAGCACGGGATCAAAAAAAGGGAAGACAGCAGAGAGAAACGACCCCCTTTCCCATCGCTTGGGTCTTTCCTTTCTGGCTGGACAGCCAACTGTCCTCTTTGCTCTGTGTTACCTGTCGGGAAGCTTCTGAAGCGCTTCTCCCTAGTTCTAAATCAGCAGCAGCTGCCATCAGCAAACACGTCTTTTGTGAAATCAGAACGGCTTTCTCAGAGGGACAAAACTGGGACAGCTGAGGAGAAATAAGCAGAACATGAGTGAATGGTGAAAATTCTTCTGGGCCAAAAGAGTCAAAATGCAAATCAGTCACAGCCTGTTTGGACAGCATAGCATGTCACCTGGACAAGGGGCTCAGGTTTGCACTTCACCCTGCTTTTGTGGTGTCTGTGATACCTTCCTCAAGGGATCCTACCCTCCCAGCAGCAAGAGCTGCTTTCTGCCCCAGAGGTCATTTATCAAGTGGTTTTTCTCCTCAGTTTGTGTTATAATTTCCAAATGATTCCTCATGACAAGCAGAGTCCTTCTTGGTACGAAAGAGAACTGAAATGCGTGCTGATATTTTGGGTTTGCTGAGAGGCCGTCTGGGGTAATGGCCAGAGGGCTAGATTTCAAGTCAGGAAGACCTGACTTCAAGTTTCATCTCTGCCGTATACTAGCTGGATGGCCCTAGACAAGTCACTTAATCTCTAGCAGGCCTAGATACTCTCTCAAACTTTAAGTTTCAGGTAAGTTGCTGAACTGCACTGGTAGAGGGAGTTGCCACACTGGAAGTTTCCTACACCACTGAATTCACTAATCTGGACCAAGAAGATACAACAAATTGGACAAGCTTTTGCCTTTCACTCGGGGTGGGGAACACCCCAGGGACTCCCATTGGGGGAAAAAAAAACCCCAGCACAACAACCCAAAGCCATGTGCAAATCTCAAGTACCACCCCATGGAGATCATGCAGAAGAAACTGAGGCCCAGAGGGGCAAACCACAAGGGAAGTAGGAGAGCCAGGCCTGGAGTCCAGGTCACCACACACTAGCCTTAACCATTGCTGACTGCTGATTCCTCTGGGATCATTTCAAATCTGTTCCCCTCTCTACGGCCCTGTCTGGGCCTCCATTTCCTACTCTGTACATTAAGAGGGTGGAATCCAAGACCTCTATGGTCCTTTCCAATTCTGACTTTCTACGATACATTCAAGCAGAGCAGACATGGCCATGGCTAGGTATCCCGGAACCTGCCGGAAGAAAGGCCTATATGCTCTAGGGGTGGAGCTGGGGGGAGGGGGATTTCTCGCTACCATTCCTCATACCATACCCCAGGAGTGCCCACCCTCCTTGTGGAAGTCAGCCCTGCTCACACACATTTAAAGGTCCCTTGGCTCTAGGCCACCCCTTTAGCACAACCCTACTCTTAGATCCCCATCAGAAGAACTGTACCTTGTAAGAAAGCAGGAAGAAGTCTCGCATGGTTCCTGGGCACTTTTCACACTGCATGGCCAAGTTCCAGGCTCAAAGTAAACAACCAGAGTAGCACAATGAAAACCTTTTGGACATCATCTCTACCTTTAAGTACACTCACTGCTACACCTATCCTGAGGACATATTGGTATAGTCAGGGGACTCAGGTGAGTCCTTAGAGGTTCTCTTGGGGGCTAAGAAAAAGCATGGAATTGTTAAGTTCAACATGTTTCTCTGCACAGGATGCCATAACTTACTGTTTCTCAGATAACTGAGAGTTTCAGTACCCAAACTTTAGTCTACAGGCCAACAGGGATCAACAATTTGAGGTGGAGACTCCAAGTGACATGCACTACCTTGGGACCTCCAAGTTCTGGTTCTGCTCCATTACACTTAAGACTTTGGTGAGAGAACTGTGTGTTGTGTACACTAGCAATGAGCCTCACCGCCTGGAGTGGGGCTGATCCTTGGGCACCAGATGGGCCCACGTGGAGTGGCTAGAGCTGGGGCTCTGCAGGCAGACTCTTTAAGTACCCAGGGGCATCTACACACTAGGCCAAGGTATCAGAGGAAGACTTCACACCACAGAGATTCACACAGGTATAGAAAGTGGAGGTAGAGGGGCCTTTAGAGATAAGGTCCAAACCCATCAGTTTGTGAAGGAGAAAAGTGAGGCCCAGACAGGCAAAGGAACTTGTCCAAGGCTATGCCAAAACCAGGACTCAAACCATGGACCTCAACTCCTCACGGGTCTCAGTGCTTACTACACTCACTACACAACATTTACTTTGTGACCTTGACCACGTCCCTTTTTCTCTCTGGGTCTTCTCAGTTTCTTCCTTTATTTGAGGGAGCGGGACTTGATCAAATAGAAAAGAGGGCCACTCATTTCCATGTCTGCATATCGAACTTAAGTTTTCAAATGGAACATTAGCTATGTTTTATTGTGTTTTCATTTATTTTGTTCAACATTTCCCATTGACGTGTGAATGTGGTTAAGGCCTTCCTCAGGACGGTTGTGGACTGCATGCAGTCCCGTAGGGGCCACATGTTTGACACCTTGGGACTAGTGACTTCTGATAGCCCTCCAATTCTGACATTCTCTGATCCCATGAACTGGAAGTAACGGAAGAAAAAGTTAAATTCAGTTGAAAAGCAAAACAAATGCTCAAGTTGGGCAACATCTCTGCAATAGCCAAATTAGAATTCAGCCAAAGGAGAAAGGTTCCTGGGGACTAGAAAATGACTTTGCCCGTTTCCCTAAGGTCAAGAGCCTTACGGTTTTGACAAATAGAACGTGGACGTTCTTTTCTAAAGCTGAAGTGCTTCGTTTTGTCCATTTTCTCCCCAAGCTAAATTAGCACCTTTGGCCATTAGGCAGCCAGGGCCAAACAAAGACCCCCAGGGTCGTGACATTTCTGTGCTCCCTTGCTCACTCATCACCCTGGCAATTGCCTCCACAACAACTGCTGTGTGGTGCTTACTGACATTTGGAGGCTAACGGGCACGACGAGACAAAGCTTCGAAAGAGAAATCTGAAAGAGAGGGAAAGATTGATCAGCAACTCTGTTGTCAGTGGACTTGCCTCTTACCTATTTTTCGAAACCAATGGGCTTCATTAATCCACACATCCAAAGTCAACTTCTCTTTTGCTACCGGCTCAGCAAGTCTCTGGTGGGCTGCATCAAAGGGAGAGCGTGGTATCAAAGCTTTGTACTGGGTATTTAAAGAGAATTATTAATCCCTCTAAAAAACCAGTTTCCCTTGAATTTTCTTCTGGAAGGTTCAGCCGTGGCATCTGTGTGCACCCCAAAAGTAATTTAAGATGAGAGAAAGTATTACACCTAGCTCCAAGAATCAGGAAGACCAGACTTTGGAGAATCCATTCACCTTTGGGAAGACCATAGTCATTTAATGCCATCAAACATAAGCCGGCATCTCTGTCACACTTTAAGCATACGCTATCTCATTTAATCATCATCACGATTCCATGAGATAGCAACAGTAGGTACTGGATCCACTGTGTAGAGAAGGAAATTTTAGTTCAGAGAGATTAATCGACTTGTCATTGGCCACACATGGAGCTAGTAAATTTCCAAGGCACTATTGAAATAAGGAGATAAACATTAGGGTAAAGAAGCCAAAAGAAAAAAGAACGATCAGAAAGAAGTGAAGGGTCACTCACCAGATTGGCAAAGTGGACAAAAAAGAAAAATGAAAATTGTTGGAAAGGCCGGGGGAAAACAGGCACATTAAAGCCCTGTTGGTGGAGCTACGGATCAGGGGATCCGTCTGGCCATTCAGGAAAGCAGCTGGGGACTTTGGATCCAAAGTCACTAAGCGATGCACCCCCTGTGACCTAGTGATGTTGCTACTAGGCTTAAATCCCAAAGAGATCAAAGAAAGAGGAAAAGGCCTCATATGTACAAAAATATTTACAGCAGCTCTTTTTGAGGTGGCAAAGAACTGGAAACTAAGGGGGTGCCCACTGATTAGGAAATGGCTGAACAAGTTGTGGTCTATGAATGCGATATGTGCTATAAGAAATGATGAAGGGGATGGTGTCAGAAAAAACTGGGAAGACTTATATGGGCTGACACAAAGTGACGTGAACAAAACCAGAAGAACCATTTACACAATAACAACAACATTATAAAGACAAACAACTGTGAAAAACTCAAGAACTATGACCAGTGCAACGATCAACCATGATGCCAATGACGAAGCCTGCTACCTCTCTCCTGGCAGAGTGGCCAATGAACTTAGGATGCAGAATAAGATCGATATATATTTTTGGACACGGCCAATGAGGGAATTTGTTTTGCCTGACTCTGCATATTTGTTCCAAGAAGTTTTTTGTTTGTTTTTCTCAATGGAAGAGGGAGATGGAAGAGGGTGAGAAAATCGATATTTTTGCTAATTCAAAAAAATAAATTTAAGAAAAAGAAAGAAGTGAGGGAAAGGAGGAAAGATTAGGAATTGAAAGAGTATTGCTAGGTTGGCTTAACATTTACTGAGCTCCCGTGGTATGCTACCATCACCAGGTAGTATTTCTTACACGCCCCCAAGCCCTTTGGAGAGACATGCCAGGCTGGTTTTTCACCCCGTGCTCTGTCAACAGTTCTACTGTTTTACACGCTTTTAAGTGGGTAAGCTTTGGGGTTTTGTTTGGTTTTTGACCTGTGATTTCATCGGCCTAGGGAACTCCCAGATGAAGAAACTCCCTCTATCAATGCAGACTGGCAGCTTCCCTGCAACTTTATCTTAGAGAGTTGCCTAGGACGTTGAGAGGGAAAGTGACCTGCCCAGGGTCCCACGGCCAGGTTGTGTCAGACATTTAGCCCGGGTCTTCCTGGTTCTAAGGACAGCTATCTCTCCACTATTCCACAATGCCTTTCTGGTGTGTTGTGAGAAGGCTTCCTGGACAGAGTGAAAGAGAAGAAAAGAGCAATCAGCTAGAGGAAGAAGGTGCCCTGGATGTTCCAAGGTATACAATCTGGGAAAGCCGGGAGACATCATTCAAGTCAGAGTCCAAGGGCAAGGGGAACCCAACAGGAGCACTACTTTGTCAAATACCATCTTCTGTCAAATTCTTACGGATGAAGGTTAGTTATGAGACAGGAGCATGGAGCCCAAGGGTATCTACTGTAGAAAATATAAATGCAGGCTTCACATTGAAGTCAACAGGCTCATCACTGCCCTTTAAGGCCTTATTAGAGCCAAACCAAAGCATCAGCTGGACTGCAAAGAGAGAAGAGGCGAGCACAGCTTACCTGTCTGCAGCCAAGACCAAAGTCTGTTCATTTCTTCTTTTCTGAAATTGGAAGGATTAAAGGAAAACACATGAGCAGATAGCTCTCTCTCAGGATGCTCTGAGGCAAAATGAGAAAGTCCCTGAATCAAAGGGATGACCTTGGACAAGTCACCTCTGCCTTCTCTGAACCCCAGCTTCCTCCTCTACAAAACGCTGACTTCACGGGGCATTGTAAAGATCAAAAGAGAAAAGGGATGGGAAAGTACTTTATAAACTGTAAAGTACCATTCAGTTCTTATTATTCACACAGCCTTTAGGCAGTATTCTCTCGGGATTATCATTATTATTATTATTATTATCATTATTCCATTCTTTACATTCCATTTATATCCTGGGTTTTTGCGCTCAGTTCCTCCTCAGCTTCATCCTATGAGGGAGGGTGGGACTAGAGTCATTCTTATCTCCGTTTTTCGGTAACAAAACTGAGGCTCAGGGAGGCTGATTGGTTTGTCCGTGGTCACACAGCAAGGTGCCAAAGAAGAGGTCTGAGTCCAAGATCTCTAGCCATCTTTTCCAAGTTCGGTGATTATGATACTAATTTACCCTTTCTTGTTGTAAGGGGTATAACATGTGTGATGAATGGTTTCCAAGGAGGGAGCAAACTTTTAAAATACATTCCTAAATTAACAGTTAATATGCAGACAGATAGTACAACTTAAAATCACAGGTATTTTCAAAGTAATAAAAGAGCACTTTTAAAAAATCCACGATTTGGACTTTTCTTTCCCGACTCCCCCAACACACAAACACACAGCAGTTGTCTGAAGGATTGAGGTCTGACATACACATGGCCAAGGCCAAGTGAACGGCCTTCGTAGCACACCTTCTATAACTGAGGCTAAAGGCCTCTCTGCTCAGAGCTGGCACTAAGGTCTGTCTGCTGACTTCCCTCATGCTCGGGTTACGGACACCTGCACGTGCAAACTAGTGTGCAAGTCTGCTAGGAGACATAAAAGATTCCAGGCTATGAAACAAGGAGGGGAGGACAGGGACCAAGAAAAGAATTCAGAACTGCTGGCCAGCTGGCAGCCTGAGCTAAACTAGTCATTTTCTTCTGGAGATCGTCCCTTAGCAAAAGTCGGAAGAGATTTTTTTTTTCCCTTTACACTTTCTGGAGGCAGAGGATTCTCTGAATGAAAACGTGGCTACCCAATTCTCCCCTCAACTGCTAAATCAGAATTGATTTAAATCAGAGTACAGCCTGCCTCCATTGGCTGATAGCCCAGAAACTGGGCAGAAACAGCAGACTGGCTACTCCCAGGCAAGAGTCAGGGCCAAGAAGGCCCCCCACGAGGAGGACCACGGGGATCTCTGCAACTCTGAAGTGTCTTGCCCCTACGATACTGGCCTTGCGCAGTATTTCCTTACCTGTTTTCTTCCGGTTCAGTTGTTTGAGAGATTTGGGGAATACCAAGACGAATCAAACACCTACAAAAAAAGTAACACAGGACGTGGGGCTCACGACAATCAAATTCCACAACAGTTCCATCATTCCCACTAGTGTCCTACGGCACCCTGATCGGAAATGGCCTTCAAGGCCAGGAAAAGTTGGCTAACGGGGTCCCAGGACTCCAAGGACGATGGAATGAATTGTTGAAGGAGGTAACCCAGGTGTGGCTGCTGGAGAGGTTCCCAAACTGCCCTAGAAGGTTTAGCTACTGTTTAAAGCAGGAGGCTGGAGAAGATGATGCCTCAAGGTTCCTTCCAGGTGCTGAGGCTGCAGGCTAGAATATAAATTGTACCGTCCTTGGGAAGCACTTGCCCCGCCACCATGGTCCCCTGGGGCCAGTCACTTCATCTTTCTGAGCCTCAGTTTCTTCATCTCTAAAACAGGTTAATATCTCCAGCATCTAGCCCTATCCCATAGGGCTTGCTGTGAGGGCCAAATGAGAAAAATGGAAGGAAAGTGCTTCGGAACAGTAAAGTGCCTATGAGCACCTACTATGGATTCTTCAAGGATTCTCTCTCATTAACAGAGCTGCTCTCCATATCACTGGGAGACAGGAGATTCAGTGGAGTATGGGCTGTACACTCTGTAGCCAGCCCTCTTCGGCTGGCAGATGCCAGGCCATGGCCCTGAGGGAGTCTTGGCCTCTCCTTTCCCTTTCACTGGCCCGTCGAGGGGGTAAAGCTTGCCCCAAGAGCCTTAGAGCAAACTGAAATGCTCCAGAACCAGGACCACCTGATTTTTCTTTCTTGGATTTACCCTTGGCATGAGGAGGTACTGATGCCACCTGACTGAATTTCAGCAAAGTTCACAAAGAGAACAGAGAAGTACGACATTTTTCTCACTTTCTCCAGGGGCTGACAACTTACTTAAAAGCAGTAAGAACTTGTTGCACATCTTGGGAACGTCGAGCTAAGTACTCCAGGGCTCTCATAGCCACGTCTTGCTGCCCATTCTGCAAAGATGACACATACATTCTCGAATGTTAAATTGACTTTCACAAACCTGAGCAATGTTTCCATAGTCTAGATTCCTTTTCCTTGAGAAAAGAAGATAATATGAATATGTTCATTCTGCATTCTTCTAAGAAAAGACAAGACGGGAGGATGAAGGCACAATTCACTACCCTGCAAAGAACAGGTCTGAATACATGACTGCAGCCTCTGTCTTCAACAGAACTTGAAATGCCATTTGCAAAGACATCATCAGGACCAAACGACTGGCCCCTCGACCTGCTCTTTTGTGTGTCTCTGCTCCATTTCCTGAGGATGGCTCCTCCATCCTTCATTCAGCTCATTTAAATCACCACAGCCTTTCTGGGTCTTTCCCAGAACTACAGTCCTATTATGTGCCTATTCCCAATTCTTCTCCTGCCCCCCCCTTTGCTTGCTGCATCAATTAGAAATCTCTAACCTTTTCTTTAAAAGCTCCTAATCACAGAATTACTTGCAGTTCCCTCCTACGCCCCATCATGCGTGCATTATGTACAAGCACATTCAGTACTGGCCTTTTTTCCTAGATCCACATACATTTTCTTATCAACTCTTCAGACACTGGTGAGATATTTATTGAACACCTACTACGTGCAAGGTGCCAGGGATACAAAATAAACAGCACTATATGGTAGCATACGGCGGGTGCCAAAGCAGTGCCATAGCTAAGTGCTGGGTGACCCCCTGACTGGGCACCTCAATTTGAGGGCCAGTTCTGCTCCTGCTTAGCTGAGGGAGCCTGGGAAAGTCATCTGGCCTGACAGCCTCAGTTTCTTCATCTATAAAGTTGGAATAATATTACTTGTACTCCTCAACTCATAAAGTTGTGAAAATTCAATGTGTTAATGTACATAATGTACTTTGTAATCAGAAAGTGCCATAAAATTGTAAACTATTTCAATGACAAGAGCTTTTACTGAATTGTGTTTGTTGAATTGAGTTGCTGCTAAGTTTAAAGAAGGCTAGAGTGACTGGGCAAGGAAGTCCGAGCTTTGAAGAAAGGATAGGATTTAAGGAAGGAGGGAGAATAGGGTGAAAAAATGAGCAGACACAGAAATATGCATAGTGCATGTGAGATATGAGACAAGGAGTGGACTATATACAGAATTAGGGTGAGGTAGGAGATGAAGCTGGAGAAACAGGTGAAGACTAGATTGTGGAGGGCCTTGACTGCCAAGCTAAAGGACTTAGAGTGAATTCTCTAAACACTAGGGGTCTATTAACAATGTTTCAGTAAGGAAGTGATGGACTGGAGTGGGTTAGGGGCAGAGGCAAGAGGCAGGAGAACTTCTGGTGCTGATGCAGACATGCACTGGGGTGGGGAGGGAAGGGAAAGAAAAGTTAGGGAAAATGATCTCACAATCAAGATGCACAAGTAGACTTCTGTACAAACGGGGGGGGGGAGCTGATGAACTTCTCTCTCTTCTGAACTGGTTAAAGGAAGGAGGAATACACGAATACACACACACACACACACACACACAGAGAGTTGGGAGCAAAAATAAAGTTCACTCACCAAGTCAATAGGAGGGAAAGGGGAGTGACTATATCCTGGCCTAGGTATCAGTGGCAGAAACCTATGTAACCCTGCTCTCCCTTCCTAGAAGAGAAAGCAGTCAGAAGCATAGGACTGCAGGCATTTGTGCTTCCTGGGTCCGACTGGTAGAGGAGCTGAACAAGCTTAGCGAGGATCTCAGACTCAACTACTTTGTTGAGAGTGATGGCAGGAAAGAGTCTCGAACTGAGCCAGATGACAGGCATTTGCATTTCAACTTGGAACTTCTTTAAAAGATAGTGTTTCCCCAATTGATGATTGGTCAAAAAAGCCATGAAGAAGTAGGTCTCAAAGGAAGAAATCCAAGCTATCTATACTCATGTGAAAAATGCTCCAAGTCACTATCAATTAGTAAAATGCAAAATAAAACAACTCTGAGGTACCACGTCTCACTCCTCAGATTGGCAAAGCTGACAAAAGAGGAAAACGACAGATGCTGGAGGAAAATGGGTGCATTAATGCACTGGTAGTAGAGCTGTGAATTGGTTTAGTCATTCTGGAAAACTCGGGAGGGTCTATGGCCCCCAAATTACTGCATTGAGCATACACTTTGCCCCAGTGATCCTGCTGCTAGGTTTCAACCCCTAGGAGATCAAAGAAAGAGGTAAAGGACTAATGTACAAAAATATTTAGAGCAGTTCTTTTTTGTGGTGGCAAAGAATTGAAAAGTGGAGGGTTGTACCACCATTTTGTACAGAACAAGTTCCTAAGTTCATTCATTCACTGATGCAGATATAGCAGGCTCTGTGAGAGCAAAGGCCATGTCTTATTCCTTTTTATGTGTCCACCAGCACTTAGCACAGTGCTCTGTACTTAGAACAAATTCTGTAAAGAAATGGTTACTCAATAGCAAGATGGCTGTACTATTTCTTTTTCAATCTTGGAGAGAAAAAATAAAGCAGATATATGTATTACCTCTAAAGCAAACTGGGCTGCTAGAGTGAGAAAAGCAGTAGTTGAATTTTCTTCTTTAATCATCTCTTTTTCTTGTACAGCTGGGTTTGCCATGGATTTCTCCAGGGCATCGACTGCCACCAGGGCTAAAATGCAAGGAAACAGAATAATAATATTTAATAGGTTGACCCAAACGTAAGAGACTCTTTCTTTACTGTAAACTGCACTAATCTATTAGGTTCATTTAAAAACGAAATCACACACGCACAAATCACAATTGCCAAAATCCTGCATAATTTTCACCTTGACAATCGAATATCAAAATTGCTACTTCGTATTCAATCGTTAAAACATAAGCTTCCTTCAACATCTGTTTTTTAATTCAATTCTTTTTTTTTTTCTTAGTGAGGCAATCGGGGTTAAGCGACTTGCCCAAGGTCACACAGCTAGTACGTGTCAAGTGTTTGGTCTGAGGCCGGATTTGAACTCGGGTCCTCCTGACTTCAGGGTCGGTGCTGTATCCACTGCACCACCTAGCTGCCCCTTTTAATTCAATTCTTATTTTATTTTTAGTTCCTCCCTCTCCCTCCTCCTCCAAACGAGGGGAAAAAAATAAAGCTCATTACAAATATTTATAGTCATGCTAAGCAAATTCCCATGTTGGCCATATCCAAGAGAGAAAGAGGAGAGAGAGAGAGGAGAAAATATGCCTCAATCTGCACTCTGAGTCCATCAGCTCTCTGAGGACAGAAAGCATGTTTTGTCATGAAGCCTTTGGAATTGTGGTTGATCATTGTGTTGGTCAGAGTTACTAAGTCTTTCAGTGAATTATCTTTTATGGTAATGCTATTATTGCATACGTTGTTTTCCTGGTTCTGCTCATTTCACTCTGCATCAGTTCATACAAGTCTTCACAGGTTTTTCTGAAACCATCCCCTTCATGATTTCTTATAGCACAATAGTATTCCATCACAATCATAAATCATAACTTATTCAGCCATTTCCCAATTGATGGGCATCCCCTCAGTTTCCAATTCTTTGCCATCACAAACAATTCTGCTATAAATGTTTATACACAGGGGTCTTTTTCCCCTTTCTTTGATCTCTTTGATGTAGAAGTCTAGTAGCAGCAACACCAGATCAAAGGATATATACATATTAATAGCTTGTTGGGCGTAGTTCCAAACTCCTCTCCAGAATGGTTAGACCAATTCACAGTTTCACCAATAGTGCATTAATGTACCTGTTTTCTCACAGCCCCTCCAGCATATAATTTTCCTTTTCTGTCATCTTAGCCAAGGTGACGGGAGTGAGATGGTACCTCAGAGCTGTTTTAATTTGCATTTCTCTAATTATTAGTGATTTAGAGCATTTTTTTCATATGACTATTGACAGCTTTGAATTCTTCCCCTGAAAACTGATTATTTGTACACCTTTATGATTTATCAATTGGAGAACAGTTTATTCTTGTAAATTTGACTCAGTTTCCTATATATCTTAAAAATAAGACCTTTATCAGAGAAACTTGCTGCACAGACTTTTCCCTGCAGTTTCCTACTTTTCTTCTAATTTTAACTGCATTGGCTTTGTTTGGGCAAAAACTTTTTAATTTTAAGATATCAAAATTATCCATTTTATCTCCTGTGAACCTACCTCTTGTTTGGTCATGAATTCTTCCCCTACCCATAGATTTGATAGTCAATTTCTATCATGTTCCACTAGTTTGCTTATGCTTTCACCTTTATCTAAATCATGTACTCATTTAGAGCTTATCTTGGTAATACAGTGTGAGATGATGGTCTATACCTAGTTTCTGCCAAACTGCTTTTCAGTTTTTCCAACAGTTTTTGTTGAATAACGCATTCATGACCCAATAGCTGGGATCTTTGAGTATACTGAACACCAGGTAACTTTGCTCATTTACTTCTGTTGTGTACCTAATCTACTCCATTGATCAACCTCTTTATTTCTTATCTAGCACCAAGTTGTTTTGATGATTCCAGCTTTGTAGTATAGTTTGAAATCTGGTACTGCAAACACCCCTTTCCTTCTCGGTTTTTTTTTTTCCATTGATTCCTTTGACATTCGTGACCTTTTAGTTCCTGCAGATGAATTTTATTTTTTCTAGCTCTATAAAGTAATTCTTTGGTGGTTTGATTGGTATGAAAGTGAAGAAGTAAATTAATTCAGATAGTGTTGCCATTTTTATTACATTGGCTTCGCCTACCCATGAGTGATTAATATTTCTCCAATTGGGATGTATGGAGGACTAACATCTCTTGTGTGAGAACTGCCAAGCCCTTTTCAGGGATGCCCATCCACCTTTGGTGTCCATCTTTCACTCAACTCTCACTTGTGGCTCCAAGAAGCTGTAGCACATGCAGTGGCCACAGACCAGTAAAACCGTTTCAGCAGACAGGCTAACCCAGATTAAGAGTAACTGACAGACCTCAGATTGGTCGGTAAGTTAGAGGAATGTCTACCCCAAGCATGTGAAGACTTCCCCAGATGGAATGGGCGGATGAGAACAATTTGTTCCAAAAGCCACAAAGGCAACTGAAGCAGGCACTTCAGTGTGCCTAGAGCTTGGTCAAATGTTGAAGACACCAAGGTCATCTGCTGCATCCTGGGCCATCAGCAATCATCCTGATTTTTGTCTTGTTACTGGACCTTGATGACTCTGGAAGAGAGAGTGAGGCTGATGACTTTGCAACTCTGCTTTACTTAAATCCAATTCACGAATGAGTCAAGACATCACCCAAAGATATCACTGTTCCTCTTCAAAAATGAAGGATGAACAACAATTTCTCCAATTACTTAAATGTGTCATTATTTGTGTGATTTGTAATTGTGTTTCTGTATACAGTTCCTATGTGCCTTGGCAGGTAGACTCCCAAGTATTTTATACTATCTGTAGTGATTTTAAATGGAATTTCTCTTTCTTTCTCTACCTGGTAGGTTTTGTTGATAATATATAGAAATGCTAATGATTTGTGTAGATTTATTTTTTATCCTGCAACTTTGCTGAAGTTGTTTATTGTTTCAACTAGTTTTTTAGTTGACTCTCTAGGGTTCTCTAAATAAACCAGCATATCATCTGCAAAAAAAGCAATAGTTTTCTTTCTTCTTTGTTCATACTTATTCCTTCATTTTCTTTTTCTTGTCTTATTGCTAAAGCTGGCATTTCTAGTACAATATTGAATAGTAATGGTGATAACAGACACCCTTGCTTCACCCTGGATCTTCTAGGAAAAAAGCTTCTAGCTTATTCTTATTACTGATAATACTTCTTCTTAGTTTTTGATAGATACTACTTACCATTTTAAAGAAAGCTCCTTTGCTTTCTAGTGTTTTTAATACGAATTGGTGCTGTATTTTGTCAAAAGCTTTCCTGCACCTATTGAAATGATCATTTGATTTTTGTTGGTTTTGTTTTTAATACGATCAATTGTACTTATGTTTTCCTAATATCGAACCACCCTTGTATTCCTGGAATAAATTCAGCCTGGTCATAGTCTATGAACTTTATATTGCTGCAGTCTCCTTGCTAATATTTTATTTAAAACTGTTGCATCAATATTCATTAAAGAAATTGGTAGGGACAGCTAGGTGGCGCAGTGGATAGAGCACTGGCCCTGAAGTCAGGAGGACCTGAGTTCAAATCCGGCCTCAGACCAAACACTTGACACTTACTAGCTGTGTGACCCTGAGCAAGTCACTTAACCCCAATTGCCTTAAAAAAAAAAAAGAAAAGAAATTGGTTAATAGGTTTTGACTCTCCCTGATTAAGGCATCAAGACCATATTTGTGTCATAAAAGAAAGGAATTCAGTAACATCCCTTCTTTAGCTATTTTTTTCAAACTGTTTATATCGTACTGCAATTGTTTTTTAAATGTTTGGTAGAATTTACTTGTAAATCTGTCTGGTCCTGATGTTTTTTTTTCTTTGGGAGTTCATTTATGGCTTCAATTTCTTTTTCTAAGATAGGATTATTTAAATATTCCATTTCCTATTCTGTTAAACTGAATGATTTGTATTTTTGTAAATGTTCGCATCCATTTCATTTAGATTGTCAATTTTAATGGCGTACGGTTCAGGAAAATAGCTCTCAATAATTGCTTTTATTTCAGTTTTCAGAAGAAGAAATCAAAGTTATCTATAGTCATATGAAAAGATGCTCTAAATCACTATTAATCAGAGAAATGCAAATTAAAACTACCCTGACACACACACACATCACTTCACACCCATCAGATTGGCTAATATGACAGAAAAGGAAAATGATAAATATTGGAGGAGATATGGGAAAATTGTGACACTAATGCACTGTTGGTGGAGTTGTGAACTGATTCAATCATTCTGGAGAGCAGTTTGGAACTATGTCCAAAGGGCTATAAAACCATGCATACCTTTTGACACAGCAATACCACTACTAGGTCTATATCCCAAAGAGATCAAAGAAAAGGGAAAAGGACTTAGTTGTACAAAATATTTATAGTAGTTCTTTCTGTAGTGGCAAAGAATTGGAAATTGAAGGGATGCTCATCAATTGGGGAATGGCTGGACAAGTTGTGGTATACAATTATAATGAAATACTATTGTGCTATAACAAATAATGAGTAGGATTTCAGAAAAACCTGGAAAGACTTACATGAACTGACACAAAGTGAAATGAGCAGAATCAGGAGAACACTGTACAAAGTAACAGCAATATTGTATGATGATCGACTACGAACGACTTGGTTATCCTCAGCAATACAATGATTCAAGACAATTCCACAAGATTCGTGATGAAAAAAGCTATCTACCTCCAGAGAAAGAACTGATGGAGTTTGAATGCAGATTGAAGCATACCATTTTTCCACTTTATTTTTTTGTGGGTTTTTTTGATGCAACTAATGTGGAAATATATTTTGCTTGATTGCACGTGTATAACCTATATCAAATTGCTTACAATCCCAGGGAGGGGGAATAGATGGGGGAGAATTTGCAACTCAGCATTTTAAAAAACAAATGTTAAAAATTGTTTTTACGTGTAATTGGGAAAAAATAAAATATTCAAAAAGTAATTGCTTTTATTTTTCTCCATTGGTTATAAATTCATCTTTTTTTACTTTGGTTTTACTTCTTTCTTTTTCTTTGTCA